CCCCTCACTCAGCACCAGGAACCAGTATGCCACCAGGGCTCTTCTGTCTCCCCCTGTTGTTTTGTTACTGTTGTTGTTAACCCTTGTCAAGTCGGTTCCGAATCAGAGCGACCCTGTTAGGGTTTCTGAGGCTTTAAATCTTTGAGGGAGCAGAAAGTCTCATCTTTCTCTTGCAGAGTGGTTGATGGGCTCCAACCTTGGACCTTGTGGTTTGTAGTCCAGTGCTTGTTGTTAAGTGCCATTGAATTGGTTTTGACTCATATCAGACCTATGTACAACAGAACAAACCAATGCCTAGTTCAGTACCATCCTCACAATAGTTTCTATGTTTTGAACCCATTGTTGCCGTCACTGTACCAATCCATCTTGTTGAGGGTCTTCTTTTTGGCTGACCCTCTCCTTTACCAAGCATGATGATGTCCTTCTTCTTCATGGAATGGTCTAGAAAATAAAGCCCACAAAGCAGGAACCTTTTCTGTCTTGTTTACCATTGTACTCATGTTCCTAAACCTGGAATGATGTTCAGTACATACAAGGGGGCTTTTAAAGGTTCATAAAAAAACTTGAATTAAAAGACAATGAAATTTTTCCACAAACTTTTTGAAGTCCCTCATATTTGTGAGTTGAAGAATAAAGAGATCTCATCTATGAGTCCTCTTAGACTCAAAGACAGGTGTTTTTTAGGTCAGTAGCTGGTGTGGCACTGTGAGTTAATGTGCCAGACTGCAAAGCCATTTGAACTGCAAGGTTGGCGGTTCAAGCTCACCAGCTGCTCCTCAGAAACCCTATCCAGGGTTGCTATAGGTCGGAACCAACTTGATGGCACTTAACAACAACAACTATTTGGGAACTAGAAGCAGCAACTAAGAGTTCTTACAATCTGACTTGTTCATTTTTAAAATGTGGTGACCACATTAAAAAATGCTGAGTCTGAAACTTTTCTGTTCTTTGATAGATATCAGGAATCCCATTAATTATAGAAGTTCCTCTGAATTAATATGTATATATTTTAAAAATGCAATACTTCTGGAATATTTAAGAATTTACCTGTCATTCATATTAAGCAAGAATTTCCATTTAGTGAGAGGAAGTATTCCGTATTTCCCTCTATATTCTCCCTCTTTTTAAAAAAATATTGTGGTAAAATATATGAGGAGACTTCAAAAGTTTGTTGGAAAGTTCTGTTACCTTAAATTCCATTTTTCCATGAATTTTTTGAAGCCCCTCTATATGCAATCTGCCAGTTATATAAAATCTGCCATTTTAATCATTCTTAGGTATACAGTTCATTATATTCAGTGTTGTGAGCGCTTCACCATGATCTATTTCCAACAAACTTTTCCATTAATCCAAGAGGAAACTGTACTATTAAACAGTAACTCCCCATCCCCTAGTCCCTTCAAAACCTCGGATCTGCTTTCAGTCTCTATGAATTTGACTGTTCTAGATATTTCAGTAAGTGGAAGAATAACAGATTATTTGTTCTTTTGTGTCTGGTTTATTTCATTTAGTATAATGTTTTCATAGTTCAGCCACTCCATATTCCCTCTTAAAACTTGAGGAGAAAAAGCCAGACTGCCATTGTGGATAACCTGGAGAAAGTAGTACAAGGTAAAAGGTGAAAGGTGAAAGAAATTCTACCCTGTTTTAAAATTGCTTCTTAAAGAAATGTTTCCCCCAGAATAAGAAGGAATCACCCTTTTTCATCCTTCTTTTCACTATCTGGCCTTAAATTTACGTTAACGATATTGACATTTTACCTAAATCAAGATTAAATTGCCTTCAGTGTGATTATCTGAAAATTTCCGCATGATTCATATCATAAAACTAAACTTCCCACACAAATGGAGGGCCAACAAAATATCTCTGGGTCCATATGTTAGGGGTTGTTTCCATTTACAACAGCTTCACAAGTCCTTGAGCTTAGTGACGCAACTGGTCTAAAAGATCATCTTTTCCTTAGTTCACCTTCATTAATGTTATCTTTTTTTTCTCCTGTGCACAACTCCTACTTGGAAGTGGCAGATAGCCATTCCTTGGCCCTTGCAGTATGCATCCAAAGGATTAATGGGGTAAGTTTCCGAGTCAGAAAACCATTACAAAACTTCTTCTTCTAAAGATTTTCAGTGTTATTTTTGTCAAAATGATATCTACAACCCTAAAAGTGCTGTGTACAGTGGAACCTTATAAGACATGGGGATTTCCAAATCTGGGAACTCATCCTGACACATGGACAAGTCAAGGTCAAGAATAAGACCACCCCACTGACAGACAAAACAATTAAGGTGCACCTGGGAAGTTTCGTGTCATTTGCTTGGAATATTCTCATTGATTAAGTGTCCTTCCCAGGGAAGTCTTTCTAGGTGATGATCAGTTCTTGCAACCTTTCCATATAGGGGTGCTTTATAGTCCCTCTTGCCCTGGCTTCAAATGCTGTCATTCTTTCTTCCAGCCCTACCCCTAAAGACTCCTGTGCTGTCAAGGTATTCAGAAGTAATAAATTAATCTACAACTGAATCTGGAAAAATGAGTTAACACTTGATCACTAACTACTTTATAGGGCTGAGTGTGTAGTGCACGAATGGTAATCAGATTAAGCAATGCTATGAAAGCCTAATACAAAATAAGGTATAATAAAGAACCAAACCCACTGCTGATTCTGACTCACATTGACCCTACAGGACAGAGAAGAACTGCCCCACAGGGTTTCCCAGGCTGTAAATCTTTACAGAAACAGACTGCCTCAGCTTCCTTCCATGGAGCTGCTGGTGAGTATAGTCCCAACGCATAAACCCACAGTGTCACCAGGGCTCCTAAAATAAGGTCTAGTTATTACTATTCAGATGTGTGCCTTACTTTATTAGACTTCTCAAAGGTATATGCTTTGGAAATGGACAGACAGGGAAAAGAATGAATGTCTAGTACGGGCTTTCAGGCACTGATATTGGATTACTGTTGCTGTTGTTGTTAAGTGCTGACTGACAGAGATCCTGTATAGGGTTTCCAAGGAGTAGCTGGTGGGTTTGAACTGCTGACCTATGGTTCAAACCAACCCCATGGTCCAGTGCTTACCCTATAGTGTCGCACAAGGATACCTGGGTAAGAGATATTTTGGGGCAGAGGTATCTTCCTGGTGTTTCTCAAATAACTCTCTAACATAGTAACTGTAAGACTCAACCTGAATCCTCTTCTGACTTGAGGAATCACTCCTCTAGAACTGTTACTGTTGGTGGTGCTACGTGCAAACCGACCTTGAGGTCCTGTGCTTATCCTACAGCACTACACGAGGACTCCTCTAAGATAATATGAAACAACTGACACCTGGACACTTGATCCGACAGCCTACATAGATGTGTTCAGACTGTTAATACTGTAGAAACCCACTTTCCCCATTCAAACTAGATATTTTTTGAGTGCAGAAGTCATGATTTGTCCTTCTCATAGTACACCAAACAGCATAAAACTCAATCTCTGGGAGAATGAATCGATACTATATGACTTATACAAAAGCATAATGCCATGGAGTCAATTCCTATGCAGAGAGACCCACCCATAGGGTTTCCAAGACTGTAAAGATACGAATCTTTACAGAAGCAGAGTGGCTGGTGGGTTTGAATTGCCCAGCTATGGTTCCAGTGCTTGTCCTACAGCACCACCAGACCACAAAAACTCAATGATACCTCTCTAGTGCTGCCAAACACTCTGAAAGGAATCACAATAAGAGGTCCTAAGCAGAGTGAGAGACAAATGTGGAATAAAACTCAAAATAATGAAACAGACCAATCTGATAGAGACTAGTGGAATCCCCAACTATGGTCCTTGTGGTTAGCAGTTCAGTGCTTATCCTACAGTACCACCAAGACACCCTGCAAGACTTGTAGGAAAATTGAATCAGACATACATAACAGATTTTTATATCTTCCATTCAGGACATAACAATCAATCACCCAATTTAACTAGAAAATTAACCTTTTATACAAATTATTTCCAAAACCCAAGCATTTTCTAGTTACTACAAGCTGGTCCCCTACCTGGTTTCCTTCTGAACCTGAGGGCAGCCTAATTCCTCTCTCCCCAGACTCCCTTCCCCTAGTCTCACCTTTCCATCTTTGTGTTTTGTTTTGTGTTCACGGTATTAACATACGACCTCATTAACAAACGTAATAAGCAGCCTCTGGTAAGGAGAAACTCAAACATTTTAGAATCTCCAACCCCAGCTTTGGATAGGCGGTGACTGTCCCACTGGGCCAACCTCCCTCAAAGAGTTCGAAGGGAGTTTCGCGAGCACAACTCAAAATTTGCAGTCGTTTTCCAAACGAACTCGAACAATTCCACGCTCTCGGTAGCGCTTTCAGGCTGCGCCTCGGTCGCTCGGTCGCGAGTGTGTGTGGAAGTGGAGACAGCTCCGCCTCACACTTCCGGCGTCACAGTCTGGGGACCTCGCAGAGCTCTGAATCCCAAATAGGGGCTGTCGGTCTTTCCCCGGGCCAAAACCCCTTTTCAAAAACTCCACTGTCTCATTTTCTTCGCCCACCTCTCACTATAAGGGGATCTGATAGCATAGTGGATTACGAGCTGAGTTGCAAGCCACAAGGTCAGTAGTTCGAATTTACCAACCGCTCCTCAGGATGAGGCTTTCTGCTCCCCATAAAGATGTCTTCAGAAACCCTATGCAGGGTCGCTATGAGTCGGAACCGACTTATGACACATCAACACCACCTTTCACTACACTCCTCTTTCCCTCATCTGGGACTCCCGCCCTAGTTTAGGCCCAGGCGTCTCTTAGCCCTAGTCCCCTGGTGACCCACCAAGTTTCCCCCAACCTTTCTCCCACTCTGTTTCTACTTCTCCCAATGTCTTCCCGCCTTAGATTCCACCAACCACTCGCACCGAGAACCCCTTCCCCACTTCTCTCCTTCAGAATCCACCCTCAGGTCTGTCTGCTCTTCCGCCGCCCGGACGCCTTCCCTCCGCTCCCAGCCCCTTCCCCTTGTCCTTACCTCGCTCCCATTCTCTAGCAGCAGCCACTCGGCGGTCATCCCCACCCGCCGTAAGCACCACCTCCGGCCGCCAGCGCGGTCTCCCGTAACCAAGGAGTTGGACTCCCCCATAGCCCACTCGGCCCAGGGCAGGCTGGGTGGCGGTCAGCAAAGAGCGAGACCCCTACCCCAGCTACAGCAGCCCTTCCGCTTCCTAGCGGCCGCCATACCTAAACAGCAGACAGAAGCAATCGCCACACTCTCGCGATCGAAGCGAACCTAAATGCTCAGCCCTGTCCCCGCCCAGCAAATCGTAGTCACTGCGCTTGCGCGAGAGGATAGCAACGACTAGGCTAAACGATCGTGGATTTATCTCCTGATACAGCAGATGTTAGTCGTTGCTGAAAAGTGCCGAAGTGTAGTCTGGGGCAATGGAAATCTTCCCAACTTCCTTACCCTCTCCAGAACCTCCACCCCAGTCCTATTGCCCCAAACAAGAATTTCTCGTCACTGTTGCTTTTTTTTTTTTTAATTCTGCACTTATGACCTCATTATGATAATATCTATATTATTTTAAATT